AATGGAAAGTTACTGTGCATGCCTTGTGCCCACACGGGTAAGATGCACCGGGCTGGAACTACAGCTGCCATGGTTACTTGTGTTATCTTGGATGTTCCTTTAACCTCTGCAGCATCACTAATTTGGCATAAACATAGGCATCTACCTCCCTCTTATGCTGAGACCATTGGGGTTTTTTAAGATAGGTGAGATAAAATTCACAGAAGCATTGACTCCTACTGATCTTCTCTCCAGCAAAGAGGAACCTCTCCATCTACATCTGGTTCTCCAGAGAAAGCTATAAACAGGCCTTTGTATTGGCCAAATAGCAAAGCTTTAAGCTCTCAACAAAGGCAAGAAAACAAAATTCTTTATCAGAAACGAAATCATCTGAAGAAAAAGAGCCTCAAGCCCTCAACAGCTGGGCAGCAATATGTACAAACAGAAGCTGAAGTTGCACAGCTTTCATGGTGGCCTCCTCTGGCAGCAAGAGAAATCCTGATCCAGCTTGTGCACCGGAAAGAAAAGGAACTGGCCTGTTCTCACCTCTATTCAGGGCATCTAAAAAGCTGGCTGGGGTCCCACCTTCCCATCACCCTCCTCCCATCTCATCTGGCAAAGCCCATGCCAGAAAGTCACATCAGAAGAAAAATCCTGACAAGTGTTGGCTAGAATGAGAGGAGATGGGGGAGAAGAAAAGGTTATTTCCTGTTTGCTGCTATCAGAAGATTTGTGTTTTCTCCCCTTCACGGTTTTATCAAAACTAGAGCAGCGCATTCCCTGCAAATTGCTCATCATGAGAAAGACAGGGAGGACTAAGAAGTCCCTGATGCCCCAGGCAGAGCATTGCCTGAGGGGCTCAGGGGAGCTGGGATCTACCATCAGCAGGGAAATGCATCTGCCTAGGGAACAGGATTCGTGCCAAATGTCAGGGAGAGTAGATGTGAGGAGGAAGAACAGCAGCTACAGCTTTCTGGAGGACAACATTTTATACTGCAGGATGATGGAAGACAGACCCTGCAGCCTCCCCACCTAATCAAGGGAAGGATCAGCATCTACTTCTGCCATTACTCCCCACCACTTCTGTACCCTAAGTCACTAAGCCTGCACCCTTTCTTCCCCTTGGATCCTCCACAGCAGTCACCCTATCTCATCGTTATCCTCCCTCTCTCTCTCTGTCCTGCTGTCACAGTTCATCCTGACATGACAGACACAGAAGGAGCAGAGGCTGTCCCACCCAGCAGGTAGCTCCTGCTCCAGGCTCCATGTGCCACCTTGGCAAAGCCTCCACTCCCCCACCCCCCATGGTCTGCTCAAGGTGAATTGAGGCTGACTGCCAAGCAGTTGACTCCTCACTCACACACATCTCTGAATCCCACCCCTGCTGTCCCAAATTCCCTCACTATAGGTTTATCTGTTGTTTCAGAGGAGAAAGCTGAGGCCTATTGCTCTGTGACTGAAAGCTTTCATGTTCTTCCCTCCAAGTCATGCAGTCGATGTCACTGCCGCAGTTCTCTTCACGCAGACAAAAACGGCATCACAACAACTTTTTCTTTCATTTCTTTGTTTGTTTGAAGGTATCTTGCTACGTGACTTTTGTTATCAAAGAAAGCTTTTAAAACTGCTTCACTCCTTAGTTTTGGAAAAATGTGTTTTGCCCTCAAAGAGGAACTTTTATAAACCAAAGCCAAGACAGCGATGCTGGCTAGAGGATAGACACTTAGCTGCATTTCTTTATTCCATTTGCATATGATATGGGAGAAGACAATAATTCTCTCTAATGTACCACATTTGCAATTCCAAAAGATTTGCTGAAAATTGTGCCTCCAAGTAATTCTTGGTCTGTAACACATCTAGTTTCCATAGCGTTAGACAATACTAAAACTACCACTAGCAGTCATCAGTTCAGGTGAGTTTTAAAAATCCTGCATAGAATTTCCAATATTAACTATATTTATATTAACTGTAAAATACACACTTCATACTACAGCCCCTGCCAGCAAGGACACGTAGTGATAGCACAAGGGGTAATGGCTTCAAACTGAAAAAAGAATAGGTTTAGATTAGATATCAGGAAGAAATTCTTTACTGTAAGGATGGTGAGGCTCTGGAACAGGCTGCCCAGAGAAGTTGTGGATGCCCCATCCCTGGAAGTAGGCCAGGTTGGACAGGGCTCTGAGAAACTGGGTCTAGTGAAAGATGTCCCTGCCCACTGCAGGGCAGTTGGAATTAAATGATCTTTAAGGTCCCTTCCAACCCAAACCATGCTAAGATTTTGTGACTTGCTTGCTGGAAAAACACAAATATTCAGAAGGGCTTTGTCTAAGGGCCTTATAGGTTCTCAGTAAAGACTCCCCTGCTGCCTCCAGCCACATCCCCTGCCTGATGAGAGATGAGTCATGTAATCTTGCAGAAAGGAACTGCAGAACAAAACCAATTGTGAACAAAACCAATTATTGTGAACAAAACCAATGCGGGACGCGGTCGGGGGTTGTCAAAGGTCGCAGGGTCCACACTGGGTGATCATGTTGCTGCTCCCCAGCCTGCTTTACACCACAGAACAAGAGGAGAGCATTTCATATGCTCAGGGTGGTGAAGTACAGGCAGGGCTTGATTGCACCCAGGCACTGAGCAGCCTGGCAGAAGGCACAAGCAATATCCAAATGCTAATCCAAGCTTCTGCGGTGGCACACCACCAAGTCTGCTTCCACCTCAGACAGAAATTGGTGATGCTGCCTTTCTTGCCCTCTTCTGTCACCAGTGTTTACCTATGGAAATCTGTGGGGCATCTCACCTCTGCCCGCCTGGTGTTAGCAATACCTGCACTTTAGATCTTACAGCACCACCAGAATTTGTTGGGTCATGTTAAGGAAATGGTTTTAAAGATATCTATCTGTGACACTGCCTTCTATAGCTGAGTTACACACAAACTTCTTGTTTGCTTGTTTTGAAATGAGCTGCAATAATTCATAAAAAGTGACACGAACTTACCATGTACATGCCTAAAATATAGAAGGTTTTTTTAACCATGACTTATCTGTCAGACAGCCCCAGCCTGGAAAGCGTCCCAGCTATTGCCTGACTGATGCAGCACCAGAGTCAGGCTGGAAAACAACTGCAAATTCATGCGTGTGGCTTCTCAGAGTGCTGGGTTCATAGGCTGCAGGACAGGACCACCCATGTTCAGTCACACCACTGTTCCAGGGATAACCCTGTAATGGCACAGTCAAGGGATTTGATATCACCAATGATTCTGCGATTCTGTGACATTGGTTTTACCCACCATCGGGGACCACTTCTCTAAAGGTGAGCATGAGCCACCTCCTCCTTGAGAAGGTGCTATGCAGTTTGGCATCCTCTCTCACACCTAAGGTGGCTTAGGTGTCACAAAAAATTATAGATGGATAAAGATAGGCAAACCCTCATTTCCCTTCCCTGCACCTCACAGTTCAGGCAAGACACCAGAGAAGGGCTTAGTGAGCTAATGATGCACACAAATGTACTTGCACATTAACACCCACACTCCAGCAGGGACTAGTTATATGCCATTGTCCTACAGCTTCTTCTGGGCTGACTCTGTTCCCTAGACTGCCCGAGTCAGCTCTAGTCAGCAGTAACTTGTTATCAACTTTCCTTTATTTGGCTGTGCAAAAACTTGAAAATCAGCCTGTACTTGCAGTGAAAACCAGAAAGAAACAATTATTAAATAACAAAACTTTAACATTTCCAAAACAAGTTAGAAATCACATTTATTTTTTGGGGGGGGACAAAACCATGGCAAGGAAAGGGAGGGGAACCACCAGAAAGGACCAATAGCTAGGCACAAACACATACAGTTAAAGGAAGAGCACAGGCTGCAACACTTCTGACCCCAAAGTTACAAAACTTTTGCCCCATTGCTGAATGGCAGCTTCAGTGGGAAAGGACAGAAAACCAGCCGTGTCCCATCTGCCTCATAAAGACCTCTCACATCTCAGACTCCCATCTCAATGGGAAAAATCCTTCCCAGACTGGGGTTACTCTAGTGCTAACAGCCCCCAGGCACCCCCAGCCCTCCCAGGGCTCACAGCGGGAAGGCGACACTAGGGCAAATTGGACCCGGGATGCACCAGCCCGGCAGGACAAGGCTGGCCCAGCTCTCTCTCCCCCAGCACCTAAACAGTGCCACCTTCCCCAGTGCACCTCAGAGCACCCTTCAGCCTTTGAAGCATATGCTGGAGTCGACTGTCCCCTGCCTGCCCCTGCCAGAATGTGCAGAAGTAAAGCAAAGCTGCCTCTGCCCCCCCATTTTGGTGACACTGAGCCACTGACAGTCTCCACCCAGCTGCTCCTGTGCTGCCTGCGGGCAGCTACCACCCCAAGCACTCAGTGTCACATGTTTGTCACTCAACTCATAGCCTTTGAGGAATGTTTGTACTGAAAGGAGACAGTGCAGCACCATAAGGAAAAGAATTATCATCTCACTCCTACCGTGGAAAATCCGATTCCTGTGGCAGCCTTAAAAAACGGAGACAGGCTGAGTCACCACCAACACAGCTCACAAGATCCAAAAATCTTCTAAAGAGAATCACAGGACAAGGAAACAACAAGAACAACCACCTATGGTAGGGTGTCACTGATGCAGAGCCTTGACACGAACACAGAGATAAAGGACTCCCAGGGAAGCGTGCAGCCATCCCACCAGCTCCCTCACCTGGAAAAGAAGCGTTCAGTTTACCCTGCATTTTGCTGGGGTACTCACAGACCTCATTGGATGGTATTTACAAGGCACATCTTAAATCCGTTTCCGAGGGATTCACAGCACAATGTCAGCGCGGTATAAAACAGGGGCCAAATGACAAGGGAAGAGAGGGATGCAACATACACCTCCCCATCCCTTTTGATCCCAATATGTGCCATATGCAAAATATGTTACTCTACCATGCATTTCTAGCTCATTGGGATAGTTTAACATCAACATGCCTCACTTCTGACTGTCAAAGTTGTCTTATGTGGTAAATACCTTGCTCCTGCAGCGCTACCTGCAGCCCCAGGGCAGCTGTGCCAGGGACTCAGCTACCTGCTGCCAGGGACAGAGCCCTTGCCCTCTCCTCACCTCATCCTTCTTCCCTGCAGGTCTGCCCCAGCTGCTCCACGTGCAAACCTCCCCTGAGCAGAACAGGACATGCGTAGCAGCAAGACTTGCCTAAGAGATGCTATAAATTGCTGCTGTCTGTGCAAACAGCACAGCACCAAACAAGCCTACATGCACAGGCAGATGGCCAGCTTCAGCTTGCAGTAGCTAAACCATTACACTGAAGGCACTAATGCTTGCACTGATAAACAATCTCAGCACTGTAATCAATGTTTCTGCCAAAGTCGTACACCCAGGCCCCAGGCACCCTCCTGCTGCAGGAGGCCAGCTGGTGACGGTGCTGGTTTAGCTCACAGGTAATCCAAGCAGGACCCTGGTGAAAGGGCACCAAAAGGGGAGCAAAGCCAGTTATCACCCTACAGCCCCCACCACTGTCCTGGCCACAGGCAGCAAGCAGTGAGGGCCAGATCACAGAGGGTGTGGAGCTCAGATAAACACCCTGCACACAGATCCCTGGCTGAAACCTCCACTGAGCTTCTTCTGCAGGGGCTGTGAAAAAATGCCTTGAAATCTCCTAAGAGGAGATTTTTTTTTTCTTTCTCAGGAAATTTCTGGCAGGTCCTTAGTTTATGTCTGGGACTGGCAGGCCACCACAATCCCCCTGTCATGCCTGTCCTTGGATGGCAAAGACATGGCAAAGACATTGGGTGGGCAGGGAGCAGGAGGAACTGCCCAGCTTGTTTCAGGCTGTCACCTGGGGCTCCACAGTTTAGCTGCAGCTCTGTTATCAGGCAAAGCATCAAGGAGCTGCCCAGTTTTGTTTGTTAGTGAACCTGTCAGCTCGTGGCAGTGCGGCCTTGAAGCCACGGGTGTGCTTTTCCTTATATTTTCTTTTTTTCTTTTTAAATGAGGTTAGAAGGTCTGACACCTCGTGTCTTTTCCCTGCTGAAATTTGCCAGACCGATTCTTACACACAAATGAGACTATGGGATGCAAAGGACAAGTGTCACAGGCTTCAGGGTGGAACAGCAAGCATGTCAGGTCAGTCATCAGTTGGATCCGGGAAACAGTCTGAGGCATCTTCCTGGCTTTCCGCATCAACTATGACCTCAGGGTCTGGCAGTTCCTCAGCTTCTATCTGCACTGCTAAGTTTTCTTCTGCCAGTGGCTGGGGCTCAACGCCTTGACCAGTCTGGGCAGCATCTGGAAAAAGGAGAAATGGTTTATATTATTGCCCACGCCATGGCTCGCCGTCCTGGAACTATTCATTTACTGAGCTGTCCATCGTGTCTCCAGGCACCCGGGCACTAAAGATCTCTGGCCTCTTAGTACTGAAGTACTTTAGTACTTTTAGTACCAGACCTTTAGTACCAAAAAAGCCAAATCTATTCACTTACATCTGAATAATTAAAGGTGGCTAACAGCACACATTTAATACATTCTCACCTACTTTCCACACGCACCTCCACTTTTTACTTAATTGTAAAAAATTTAAATATGGGCTACTTTTTTAGTCAAACTGACAATGTGTTAATTTTTTATTAAAAGATCTACACTTGAAGTATATTAATATTAAACAGTGACCTGAAAGGCTTTTTTTTTTTCTTTCTTTCTTGCTCTATGTTCATGAGTAGCTTTTAATATTTTGAAAGCAGAGTAAAGCAGCATCCAAGGTTAGACATAAAGCACAGCTGAGCTGCGGGAGGCTGTGCACGGTACAGTGAAGGACATCAGAAGTGGAGACAGCAGTGCTGAGACCAGGCTATGACCTGTGTAATATTGCTCCAGTTCATGATGTCTCTGCTAAACCTACTTCAGCTCATGACGGTGCATTAGTAGGGAGGGTGTTGCCAGCATTTTTGTTTGTGAAACAAAATCGTGGGCAACATCAAGCAAAAAGTGGGAGTATTAATATCAAGCACTTACAGAACAGGAGATTTCTGAAGGGTTTTTATCGCTGTGCTCTCTTGACCATATTGTGCTAAAGCTGTAGGGGGTTTATGTTCGGTTTCTTTGAAGAATTAAAAATATTCCCACTTCAGTGTCAATTTAAGGAAATACACAAGCCTCTGGCTCTGATGGGATTTAGCTGTGTTTATAGCTCAGCATTTTTGGTTCATGCTGTCTTGAAGATGAGTGCTTACAAAAACAATGCTGATTTCTATAAAATGTTACTGATGAGAAGGGGAGAGGGGCGATAAAATTGCAGGAAAAGTGCTAAGTTTCGAGGGGTTGCTGTTTTTGAGATATGTGTTTTAGCACAGGTGATCCTGGAGTAGATAGTTACTGGCAGTCCCCTCTGTGGGGTGCTTATGGGATGGCTGCTGGTACATTTCAGAGCTGAGCTGGGGTGAGAGTTACCCCTGTGCAGGAGCTGAGCGAGAGTAAGGTGCTGATAAATGACTTGCTGCGGCTTCTGTCATCCGGGCAAGACGCAGCACCTTCCTTGTGCCCCAGACTCCTCTCTACAGTCACCTCCACCCCCACCACCCACAAACATACACTGTGTCCTTCATCCTCCTAAACAGGGTATCTGCCCCACTTCAGAAAAGTCGCTGGACGCACCAGGCTTTGGAGGGCGGTCAGCTTGGGCAGCTTGAGCCTCGACGTGGTCTCCATTGGGGGGGCTCTTCACACCTTCACTGGACACCACTGACATGGTTAGTCCATCATCCTTCTCCTCCTCTGTAAAGCCAAAACTGCAGACTTGAAGGAAAGAGGCCCCCCACAGCCCTCCAGCCTCAGCACGTCCCTTGCAATGCCAGACCACCAACACCTTTGTGCCTCCTCCTCACGCAGCACTGGCTCCCTTCCCAGAGCAGACAGATGCCAAGGACAGAGGGACATTGCCAACCTGTCACAGACCAGCTTGGCCATGCTGGCAGCTTCACAGCTTGAGATGGCCTCACAGGGGATGGGCAGATTGCACTCAGGGACTGGTGCTGACAGAGGACTGCCATCAGAAACCTTCGGGTCATTCCAGGATCAGACTGGAATGAGGTTCAGTTTTCTTGCCCGTAGAAAAGGTTTTGCTGTGGGTTTTGTCTGGCCAGGAGCACATGGTGGCAAGTGTGAGGTGAATAAAGGGAAAGGAAGGTTTGATTCAAGATCTCCCTGGCCATAACAGTTGCCTATCAGCAAGCAGATTACTGCTCCACCAGGTTGAGGGAGGACGGGCTGGAGGACAAGCAGCCACCCAGCAGAGAGCAGTTTACTCTGAGGCTGTGTCAACCCCAGCCTGCATAAACACAGTCCTCTCTGAGACTCATTCCAGGGGGTCACAGCAATCTCCACTCACCTGAGGGCACGGGGATGAACTTGTGTTTCCTCTTCACGCAGCAACATATGACTGAGGGCACAACCACCAGCAGGATAAGCACACCCACTGCACACCCTGCCAGGATGTAAATGAACCATGGGTACTGCAGCAGGTCTCCTGCAAGAAGGACATGGCATTGTTAGGCACCAGAGTGGACATGTTTCTTTCTTCCAGGGGGAGAAACCCTGCAGCTGGATTAAAGCATGAGGGTAGCACTGTTGCTCTGGGTTGGATCAGGGAAGCTGGTACAGTGAACTGTGGCAGAGCATGAGTTACATCACAGTGTTTAAGTATGGTCTTTTCATTAGGAGAACAGGCCTGTGTGACTACGCTGTGTGCCTTATTTCTGCCTGCTCTGATCAGCAACATCTGAGATAATTTCTAACTTTTAATCAAGATTAAGAGGGAAGGTGGTGGTTTAAAAGACAGTACATTTCAACAAGTGTTATGGAAACAAGCAGCTGAGAAGAGGAGGGAGACCTAGGGAGTCATCTGCTGCTGAAGGAAAAGCTGCAGTCCACCCTCAGAGCTTGTATTAGGCCCAGAGGATCCGCTCAGGACAGCCATGAAAGGACTGCTCCAACCTCAGAGCAGGTCTGAGCAGAGCCTGCACTCCTCAGGCACCAAAGGCTGCAGCCACCAGAGCCAGAGCTGTAGGAAACCGACTCCACTGCTGCTCAGAGAAGGATTTCTCTCTGTTCCCCTGCCCAGCCGAGACGATGCAAAGCCCCCAGCAGGAGGCGAGGGCTGCAGATGGCTGAGCAGAAGGCCACGCACAAGTCAGTGGTAATTATTACCCAGCTCAGCGTCCCTTGCTCAGGGTTGCTTTGACGGGTCAGACCTGCACGTTCGCTGCTGCTGAGCAGGGGAGCTGGTAGGGGGCATCACACACTTGCAGGAAAGAGAAACTCATCCAGACTTGTTCCTTCACCGAGACAATTTGCTCCAACCGGGGGCAGCCAGGAGGAAAACTCTCCTTCTCATATGAAAAAAACCCATACAATTCCACTATTGCTGCAATATAAATTCCTTAAAACTCCTTAGGTAAGCCTATGCCATCCTTTTCTGAATCATTTAACTTGTTTTCAGCTGCACACATGCCTGCACAGCACAGCACTGCAGCAACCAACAGGATCATTTGGAGCTTATTTTCAAGCCCTCCAAAGCACAAATTGCTCCATATCTCCAGAGGCTGGGAAGGATTTCAAATGTTCCAAGTCATACTACACACTGTCATAGTCAACACAACTCACCAGGACAGTAAAAACAACAGTGTGTGCTCCTGTGTGTGAAACCACATGTACTCATGGTATTTTCAGAGTCCTTTTTCCAATCTCTTTTGCCAAGTTAAAAAAAAATCATGCTCAAGAGAAAACTTTAAGCAAATCAGAAATAATTTCCATAATAATTTTTTTCCTTTTTGATAAAAGCTTAGAGAACATTATCAAAGGCATGAATATTAGTTGGATTTTTTCCTGAATTTTTTTTCCTAAAAATTTACCATTCATTGAAAAGGTCTTTTTGAGATAAAATATTGTGTTAAAAATAAGCAATAAACAAGTAATGAACCAATAAATGTCTTTTATATATGTTGACTTGTTAAGTTCTGAACCCTCTTCTTTAGATCTCGAGTGTTCAGAGCCCTTTGATGCCTGGGAAGTTCACAGCATTTCTGCCAAATTGTTTTATAGTAACAATTATTCAAAATCAATCATCAGTCAACAGGTTGCCCAAATAAGTGTATTTACATAGATCTTCCACCTACAGTGGAAAAACTAAATTCAGCCCTTGGCCTGGAAATAATAACCCACAAAAATAATGACTTAGTCATTAATTAATTTACTCGAACTCATTTCTCCATTCTTTTTACTAGTATTTAGAATTGCTTCAGTTCACGTTTTACAAATGTGGCTGCATTTGGTGACTAAAGTAGAATCACTGCTGCTTTCTTTCTCTCAGAGCCTTCCAAATACGCGTTCGTGAGCACGTCCATCCCAACAGAGCCACCACTGAGTTCCCCTGGGGGCTCTTCAAGAGGAAATGGGGAACTGATATCGCACCCAGGGGACTGGGCAGCCACCCAGAACCAACGATGGCAACTGTCAGCACTCACATGGTTTGTCACAGGGCTCGACTGAACAGCTCACGGGCGTTCACATCCTCGTTCCCCACTGCCGCGGCCAACTGGGGTCCGGCTGCGCCGAGCGGCCTCCGGCCAATTTCACCGGACAAAACCGGGGTCGCTGCTCCACAGCCACGAACGCCAAAGCTGCACAGACTGGCCAGCGGTGCCAGTGTGACCAGGCACAAACAGCCCATGGCGTTTCTGCTGGATGCCAGCATGCTGGGTATGGGGTTTGGGCCAGTAAGTTTGCTTTCACACCGACTGTATGCCGACCACAGAAGAAAAGACAGTGTCTGCTGCAGTGCTGGAGTGTCTCTGACAATTTCTAAAATGCTGGGTGCTATTAGAGAGTACAATTTCTCTAGCAGCAGGTAATTAAATTAATTACAGCTAAATTAGTCAAAAACCTTGTGGTTAAATTATGCATGTAGCTCTGATGTAACTCTTGATAACCATCTTTGCTGCCACAGAGCAGAATAACCTTCTCTACTGCAGGTGCAAATGAAATTATACCCAAGGATCCAGATTTTCTGTCTCATTAAACTATGGCCCCACTCAAGCATTTATGAACAGTTTTCAAATGGATAAAGTCCCAGCCTTCTCACAGTGCTACATATCTGAGCAGGGACATTCCGTAAGTAAAAATGACTTGTGTCTCTACCCACTTCTGATGGTGTGGGGCTGATGGAGAAACATTAGCATAGACTCACAAATCTTTGTGTTTCTGACCTAGATAGGCAAAACACCTTAGCTGAGTCCAGGAGCAACAGGGCTGAACTAGCAGAGGTGTTTTTATAGGGATGCAAAGAAACTGGAAGGCCATCAGGGTCATGGATGAATGTTAGAGTAGAAAGCAGCATGTGTTTCTAAACTGGCACTGAGAATCAGTGCACAGAAGGGTGCAAGGTCTCTATCACTGGGAAGCAGGAAAACAGACAGATAGAGATTCATCCTTGCTGCAGAGCTGGGTAAAAGGACCTCCTGAACAAACTTTCATCCCATCAGTGATTTTAGGCTGTGTCAGTCCAAGACACAGGAGGGAGAAGGAAGTCAAGAGGTCACTTTCTGAAGGCAGGATGTGCTAAGTCTGGAAGGCAGCTGCCAGGGGACAGAAGAGTTCAGCATTTTGAGGACACGGACAACTCCTCAGTTTGCTGCCGGAAGAGACCAAGAGGCAGATTTTCTGGTTACTCACCGTAGCTACAAGACAGAGCAACAGGCCTGGTCCTTGTGACGCTGCTCCCGTGGGACACCACGCACACAAATTCCCCAGGCACGGTTTTGTCCAGGCGGACCTTCCTCCCACCGTCCGTAACACAAGCCCCGGGGGCACTCAGCTCTTTGCCGCTCAGCTGCCACCGGAAGGTCATGCTCTCGGTGCTGGTCGCGTTGCAGGACAGCTCTGCAGTCCCATTAGGGAAGCACTGGATCCCAATGGTCGGCTCTGGTCACACACAGCATGGGACAATGTGAACAGGGAGGAAAGAGAGAGGTGAGGCGCAGACTCAGCAGCAAACATGAGCTGAACAGGAGCTTCTCTGACCAGCAGTCTCAGTGCCACTGCATTTACTGTAGCCAGGAAGCACAAAAGTAGGTAACCAGACCCTTCAGTGCCTGCACTCAACCCTGAAATGCTTAACAGTGCCCTCTCCCCAACCCTGCTAGGGACTCTTTGGTCCCTATTTTGGGGATGCGACAAAAATCTGGCATCTCTTCATTTTCCTTACTGACACTGAAAAAAACCTCCAAAAATAAAAGCCCCTGATCTGAGAGAATTGTGGAACTATCCAGAGAATCTGCCAGCCAGAGGCTTTCTCTGAAATCAGCAGATAACCATAGCTTCAGAGCAGACTCAGCCCTTTCCTCCACCACAGGTTTGTACTTTTGCTATCACTCTGCCTCTTCTTCCATTGTAGAGAGGAACTAGTGCAAATCATGCCCAACATGGGAACCAACACCAGATAACTGCGGTGAGAAAGGATACCCAGACTATGAATTCTTAAAATGAAGCAATGCACCATTGCTCTTACTACATTTCCCTGAATTTCTCTCTTTCAGTCTACTACAAGGAGCAAACCTATTTCCTACATTTGTCACTTTGCAAATACAAACTAAACAGAGAAGTGGTGTGGTTTTTTGACAGCAGGAGTAAAATTAGAGAACATCCATCCGTGCAAATAAGCTCAGAAATCACTTTCTTCAACTGGGACATCATCTTCAGTTAAAACTCATACCTCCAGGAACACCTTTGCTGTGAGATTGTTTCCCTGCCTTAGGTGTGCCAACAGAACACAAGGAGGAAACAAAAGCCCCAAAAGCAAATCCACTGAAATGGAGGTTAAACCCAGGACTTCTGTAGTCTTTGCCTACTTCCAGTCTAAGCTCCTGATCTTCGTGCCAAGGAGTCACATCTTTGACCTGCTCTCCACCGCGGTTCCGCCTGTTTGCACCCAAAAGGGGCGAGCGTTCATTTGTCTTCACTGAGATCAGTTTGCTCAGACATTTTCATTACAGTTTCATACGCTTCAATTTGTCTTGGAAGCCTGTGTAAGTGAAAGCCCTGCAAAAGAACCGGTGGAGATGAGGACCGGAGCAATGGTCGCTGGCTGCCTGGACCATCATTCAGCAGGGGGACAAACCCATTTAAGCCTTCTCCTTATTACCCCAAGCAATGAGCTGGATCCTGTACAGAAGCGACTTTTTTTCCGTCTTCACACCCTGCAAGTGGATGAGCAGGCACACAAAAGGGAGCAGGAATTCCGAGGCCACAAGGAGAACAGTGGGGAGGCTGGCACGGGTGAGGGCTCTGGACAGACCCAGAAGATGCTGACCTCCAAGCTGCTCAGGGGTAGCTAAGAATCACTCATAGATGCCTTTAGCATTTCTCCTCAGCTGCATGAAGCAGGGGGAAACCCCAGCACACCTCAACCCAGACCTGCACAGAAGTCCAGTCCCACTTTCAGAGCCAAGTCAGGCAGGGTTAACTCCTTAGGGAAGTGTGTCCACAGGTAGCAAAATGCTGTTGGTCAGTGGGAGCTTTTGTGGGAGCCATCAGGAATAGCGCTCTGGAAACAGACTGAAATCTCCAGCTACATGCCTACGTAGCATAAGCTCAACTTTACAAACACTTCATGCTGCTGCCTCTTACATCATGGAAAACAGCCCAGAACTCAACTTACTGGCTACTTCAAGGAAGGATCAACAGACAGGAGAGACAAAGAGGATGCAAAGAGCACGTCTTAGTTTACACTGACTACTACTGCTCTCTGAGTGTACCAGAAGCTTTAAAAAAGCTTCTTCCAGAGGCATCTGTAGCTCCTGCAGGCTCAAGCAATTCCTTAGGACGAATTTTAGGGCACCAAGCTTCCAACCAGGCTCACAAGTTCAAAAGTTATTTGTTGCTAAGAAGGCCACTTACCAAATACTTCCAATGCAAAATAACTGGTGGTGTTGGGAAAAACAAATTCGTATTTTCCTTCGTCCTCTTTCTCCACACTCTTCAGCTCTAGGGAGCCATTCAGCCAGTTCAGGCACCTACTGGCAGAATTGCCGCACTTGGCCAACAAAGCATCATTTAAGACAGTTGTCGAGCACACCCCGTCCCCCTTGCTCATTCTGGAGAGGGTCTGCAGGCTTTGGTTTCCCACAGAAAAGACTGCTGAGCCGCCGCTGAGCACACTGATCTGGGTGGCAGAGCCTGAAAGGAGAGGCACAGAGCGTGGGCAGCAAGCTTGCCATGTCCATCCATCCCCTCTCGGCTGCCTCCCAAAAAGGCAAATGCCCAGGTGAGACGTAAGAGGCACAGACCCAACCCTAGTGACAGGTTGGATCACCAGTGATTGAAAATCAGAGGAGTGGGAAGCCTTCTGTAAGGGTCAGCTTCCCCCCACCTGAATAACACAGGAATGGTGTGCACAAAAAGGGAAACAAAAGGCTGAACAGCTGATCCTTTCTCTCCCCAGATTTAACATGACCATCTACCACCCCCCATCAGAGATGAGAGACTGTGCAAAGAAAGATCCTCAAGGCATCAATGCCATGGATCCTGTACAGAGGGTAGCAGAAACAACAGCTGCCTGCACAGCTGCTTCTCCCCAAAGAGTAAGGTAGCAGCTTTAGCTGGAACAAGTCTCACAGTCCCCTGACACATTATTAAGTTGCTGTCTGCAACTTAAAATTCAAAAGATGGCAGGGCAAGAGCAGCTCGAGGACTAACCCAAGGTCACACCAAGAATTAGGAGCAGGACCACATTGCTCTCCAGCCAGCCCCGTGTTGTACAAGGACTTTACATTCTCCGCTGAAACGCTCTCACGGACGCAGTACACCCAGAAAGTACAATTCTGTTAGTTATCGTTCGTTTACCCAAAAAATAATCTGTCTTACTTTGGTCTGACTGCCCCGTTCATGCATTAGCGGTTACACTGTTTGATGTCTCCCCAAACCTGGTGGAGTCCTTAAAAGATCTTGGAGCAAAATTAAGGCATCTGCTCATCTAGACAAATCCGTGCCATCTCCATAAAGAGAAATCCCACTTACCATGAGTAACAGTTATTATCACCAGCAAGCACTGCAGAGTCAAAGGAGAGCCGAAATCCATTTTAAAGAGCGCCTTGCATCATATGCTGAGAGGACGATCTGGCTACAGAGCTCAGTGAATATAGTGTTCAGGAAATGATGTCAGAAGCAAGAGTGGGGGGAAAAAAAAAAAAGAAAAGAAACTCCATGGTGGACAGGTTGAATGATGGTTCAAAATAGACCTGCAAGGTTTTGGGTGACTGAGCTCGGGCTGAACCAACACAAGCCACAGTGTGCTCTGCAAAGTCCCGCAGACTGGAGATAACTGCGTGTGTGAGAATAGGGCTGAGTGGAGAGGAGAGACGAAAATATCTCCTGGTCAGCTCACCCCACTTAGGAAGATGCTAATGCCAAGACCTGGCAAAGGTGAAAAAAAGGCCTTTTCTTTAATCCTTTTCTGGTTTATCGAAGTACAGCATCCCCATCCAGGGAAGAGAAATCAGTGCAGTCAGATAAAGCACTGCACATGCAGACCAGCTGGTTTTCTGAAATACTAGCAACACTCACTCATGGAGGGTCTCACCAGCAGGGAGGAGTTGTGGGACAAGGCTTACCCTCTGTTCCCAAAGCATATGTTGCCAGCCTGAACTTTGCTGGGCTCTTCTGGTGACCAAATGGTACCTGACACACAGGAAAGAGCTCCATGCAGCCACCCCAGGCAAAGAATAAAGGTTATGGGAAGTTAAATTGCATTGCAAAACTAAACTGAATGCAGCCTGAAAGACACCCCAGCTCTGTTGGGAGTGCAGATACCACAGACGAGATTGAAAAGCCAGTCCTGAAGAACCCCTGTAAACCAGTTATCTACAGGGACTGGTAGGGCCAGATACTTTGTTTGCATCCTTTGAGGTGGCTTAAAGCACACTGGTGTGTTGCACCGAGTGCCAAGGTGTGCTACACAAGCAACGCAGCACAAAATGTCTCGCTCACTGGAGAAAGGAAACTGGTATAGCATTGGAGCCAACACCTGGATTTTGTTTAGATGCACTCAGCAGATGTGCTGAGGAGTAACTAAAACATCAGCTGAGGATGCAACTGGGAACCCTATACTTTTGTGCTGTTTCTCTGGGCACAGACAAGGACACAGCGCATTAAGGGAGCTCCACAGGGTGGAATCACGTGTACACACTCATATCTGACAAATGGGTAAACCCATTATCTTGTGATCTGCCCTGTTTTTCCAACAATTTGGTTATGCTCGATAAATTCCACGTTTCAGCCACTGGTTCGGCCCCTCTGACTTCTTATCCATGACAATCACATCTTACCTCTTGCTCCCAGTGTCCCAAACTTGCAAGTTTGTTCAAGGCTATCACAGCAACATCCTGTCTCTGTCATATGTGCAGAGGACAGGCCTAAATTGATCTGAGACAGAAATAGACTTCTCTGAGAAAAGCAGTGAAGTGAGTCTTCAGATACTCACAGCAGTGCAGAGGAAGGGGGAGAGAAAAAAGGAACACTTTCATTTCCTTCTGTGCTGCTGAAGTAACATGAAGAAAATCTCTCTCAAATACCCCTACAAGACTGGGGCTTGCCATCTGCCTCGGATGTGCACATTCAACCTCTGTTCACCTTCATGCTTGAGGGGCAGGCTGGTAGAGCTTAGGGTTGCAGTGCTGTGCTGGAGACACGAGACAGAACAGACAGCATGTGCAGCATTGCTCCAAAATAGCACCCCAAAATGTTCAGAATGTCAGGGGAAAAAAAAAAAACAAGATGCAAAAGGGGTCTGCACACAGACTAATCCAGTAAAAGTTCACCTTCTCCTCCAGCCAATGAGAGCAGCCTCAGAGAGCTCATTTACAGATTTGCAGTAAAATACAAGGAAAATATGGCCCTTTTGCTGTCAGTCTGTTGTTACAGAAGTGACTCTGCATGACTGTGACATTGCGGTGTCCTGTATTTAGTCTCCCTCTCAGTGACTCCAGGGCAAATGAGTACATTTATGAGTTCAATATTTCTGACTGCAAGTGCCCCATACATCACCCAGTATATGAAGTCCCATTAGGCTTCTTCTGTCCCTCACATCCTCACTAGCTAAAAGAAAAAGAACCAAAAAGGAATCACAGCCAGGATAAAGATGACAGCACACACACAATCTGTGTTGTCATCAATCAGCAGCCTCTTTTAAGAGCAACTCTCTCAAGTTTCACATATAATGAAGTTTTTAGATAAGATTGGGCACTAATTTCTGGCACTGGTTAATAAATGCTTACAAGAGCCATGGCTTGCCAGAGAATTCACTTCCCCTTTTTATATAACGACACAGAGATTTGTGTGATTGGGTTGCTGTGGACAAAAAACACCTTGCAAGGCTTAACAGAAAACACAAGTAGAAAAAGGGTGAAAAAGAGAAAACAGATCAAAAAACCCACAAGAATTTGTAGCTGGAAGATGAACTAAAACCTTTTTGACTTGGTGAGGTGCAAGCTCACGGGGCCATTTTGCCCTTTCAGCCTGAAGGCACCATGAAAGGAGAATGGAGATTCACTCCTTACATGACATGAGGCACTGATGGAGCATGGGAGATTGGAAAACCTGAGTTAGCAAGTAAAGAAGGAAATAACCCGTGGAATATTATGAAGAAATCTGTACATATCCACTCTGCACATCTTCCTTTCCATAGGCTGGTCAGCAGCGCACCTATTTTTACTGTCATTAATGTATGTCAGCGCTCACCGGGGAAACACACGGGCCCAGTTTCATTTGGAGGGAGCTGACAGAGCTAAATGCCAGAAACTCAGCAGAAACAGAAAATAAGCCTGCAGCTCCAGCAATGCACAGCTGCAGTCATCCTTCTGTCCATCCATCCCCTGTGGTGGAGCAGCATGGTTACACCACAGGCTGCCAGAGCAGGTACAACCAGGACTGGACAGCACTGGGAGGAGGGAGAGGTTTGCAACCTGTCCAATCCACACCTACAGCTATTCATGCATGAGACATTTTCTTTGAAACAGGCTTTGAGTGGCTCTCAGGAGAGTTTAACTGTGCAGCCACAAAGCAGGAATCAGGGGCACACCTGAGAGATGCCTCTGTGTGGGGCAGCAGGACCCCAGAAACTGATGAAGATTCATATTCATATGAATTCTTTCTTTGTTAAATTAAACTCTCCAGAGAGCTATGCTTGGACTCTGAACTCTTGCTCGATCAAAGAAGTAGCAAAAGCAACCAAAAGGACAGCAAATGTCAGAGCATCAAGTACAGGTGACAGGATGTCTCCCTGTGACAGAGACATTTAAAGTAGCCCACAAATTAAAAAAAGGACATTGCAGAAACATGCTGACATCAGGAACCGCTACAGAAAGGCTCTGGGCCTGATTATGGTCAAGGTACACATGGGTTTTTCCAGACTGCGGTACCTCCAGGGAAGATACAGTCCAACACTTGCAAGAGTGAGGGCCAGGATTTCTGGAGCTCCTGGAATGCCCCCATAGGGACTGTCAGATCTCTGGTGAGAGAGGCCAATGGAGACACACTCTCTCCTTCAGAGTATCCATGGGTATTTTCAGCTTTCTCTTGCCAAGAGGTGGAAGGAATCTCCAAGGTCCTGCAAACACAGATGAGGACTTTGTTGTGTTGTGGGCTTAGCAACTGGGCTGAAAAAAAGGAAAACCTGTACAGATACCCACTGTGATGCACAGAGACAAACCTGGAGCAGGTCTGCTGTGCCTCAGGCACCTCTGGTGAGTCACACACTGCTGGTCCTGGTCTCACACTTCCTGCCACAGCCTTTGCCTTTGCTGTTTGATGCTGAGGTTACCTGGGACCCAGAGAACCAGATGCTGCTGTTCTGACTAAAAGGTACAGCACAAGTAACAATGCATGGCAGGGAGGATCCTGAAGGGACAGAGATGATGATGAGACTCTGCACAGGACCCAGAAGCAAACAGAGGATCCAATCTGCAGAAGATCTCTGCTCAAAGTAACCTAAGTAGAAAAGCTTGCAGAAGCACTTTGATGTTATACACTTGGTGCCCCCCTGCCTCATGCTCTGAGACAGCCCTGTAATGCACAGCAGAGCAGTCCCATGCCTTAAGAATACAGAAACAACAAGCTGGACAGAGGTCTTCTTCATCTCCCATTTCTGACAAGTTAAAACCCAGGTGCTTGTCACAGATCCCATAGTTCATGCACAAGCTCCCCTCTCCCAGCTCTCTCTCAGATGCTAAACAAGACCAGCCAGGATTACAGCAGTTGATTCAGATTTCTGCTCATCAGCAAGTTGCTGTCACCCTCAGGATTTCTCTTCTTCCTCCTGCTGCATCTATGGGGGCTTCTCCCTCTCTCCCCAGCACCAGGGAGTTCAGGGGGAAAGTCATGAATTCACTCCCAACTCCACCACTGCTCAGCAGCTGTGGGGGAGAGATCCAGACAGGTCCCCAAAAAGAGCAGAGATGTGGAGTAGGTGCTGTGCTACGTTGTCATCCCATCTTGGCACTCATCAACCACCCCACTGCAAGGTGAGAGGAACGAGAACACAAGGATCCCAGCTGTCCAGGCCAAGCACACCAGCCACATACAGTTTCTCTGACATGGCTCTCCTAGTTTGGTCCATGATGACAAGTGAAAAAGAAGAGCCCATATATGGAATAACTGCTAGAAACTACCCAATTTATATTTAGCATCACTGTGTGCAGGGGGAAATGCTTTGCATTTGCTTAAAAAAAAAACCAAACCCAAAAGCCCTTGCAGAGCTATTCAGACACATGAATTCAATTACTCTGCCACATGAACAAAGCTTAACTGAGGGACAGCAAGCACAGCACCACAGCCTATGAGCTTTGGCCAGTTTGGTTGGAGTTGGAGGAAAATCTGTTTCTGTGAATGGACAACAAAGGCTGGTTAGGATACAACCTGCCACAGATTGGTGCAGGACAACTGTGCTTTTTTGCTGTCATCTCTAATGAATGACTCTCTTGCTCATATTCTCCTGTTTCTCCTTGCTTCATTTTGGTGAGGGGAAAACAGACTTCGCTAAATCCCAACTCGGAAGACGAACTTTGGAATTTGCATGAACGTTGCCATCTTCGAACTAATCGTATAAGGGTTGTTTACAAAGGCAAAG